AGCTCTGTGCCATGGGGTGTGAAGGGGGCCGGAGCCCCCTCGGGTGACTGTGGGGCTGGGAACAGGCCGGGGGCTCCTCACACAGGGAGGGGGTTGGAGTGGTGGAAATCCCATCCAGCCCTGAGGTGACTCACCCACAGCGCTGCCCGGGGGCTGGGAACCAGGAAGAGGGGTCTCCACAGGAATAGGGGGCATTGTGGAGATTCTCCAGCCACCCATCCCCAGGCACCTGGGCCCCCTGACCTGCCTCGGGCATTGAGTACAACATTAAACAGAACAAGGGCAAAGTTGAGACTATATTGAATTCTCCCCCTCCCCTAAAACAGGGACCCCATCCCTGGGATCATAGAAATCACCTCACCCCCCCCCCCCACCAGGAATCTCTCCCTACCCCACTCCACCCTACCAGGGGGTACAGGGACCAGACAGCTGCAGCCCCAGCATTCAGGGAGATGGGGCTCCTGGGGAGACCCCAAATGATGGGTGACATGACAGAGCATGGAAGGGGGATGGTTCATGCTCCGTCCCACGGTGCCCAGTGGGGCAGGGCCTGGGGGTTCGGTGCCTGGCTAGAGGGAGGGAACCGCGGGGGTGGGGGCTGGTGCTCGCGGAGGGGGGGGTCCTGGAGCCTCAGTTGGAGGCAGGAAATGGGCAGTTTCGGGGGATTCCTGGTGCCCAGAAAGGGGGTCCCAGCTCCCGGATAGGGGGCGTAGGACTCAGCCAAGTGGTGGAAAGAACCCCCAGAAAATATGAATAAAAATACAGATTTTATTACAAGCAACAAATAGAAACAACTTGATCTCCCCCCTCCAGGTCTCCCCTCCTTGCTTCGCCCACCGCAACCCCCTCAATGCGGGAAGAGGGGGGTCCCCCTTTGCTCTTTGCCAGGGTATCTCTGGTCCTGGAGCACACCTATCACAGCAGCTGTGCTCAGCGTGTGTGTGTGTGTGTGTGTGTGTGTGTGTGTCCCACCCCGGGCCTAGCGGGGTGCGAGTGCCCTCGCACTCAGGAGTAGGAGGCTGCAGAGACACGGGGTCCACACTGTGGCCTGGTCTCCTGTAACCAGTGCTCGGCCCCAGCTCTGCGTCCCCCACTCAGAGCCATCCACTAACTCAGCAGAGTTTCAACTCCCCCTGGGGGAAGGAGCAGCCCCATGGCAGGGCAAGGGGGGCTGAGAACCCCGCACCCCGCAGAGGAGGGGTCATACACAGGGACACCCCCGAACTATCCCACCCCAGGGATGCCCCACAGCAGTGTCAGAGCCCTCCAGTCTCCGCGCTATCCTCAGAGCCGCCCCCCGCGTCCCCGTTGAGCTGTTTCTGCGCCAGGCGCCAGTAGCTACCCCGGCGTGCCAGCAGCTCCCGGTGGGTGCCCTGCTCCCGGATCTCCCCGTCCTCCAGCACCAGGATGCGGTCGGCTCGTTCCACGGTGCTCAGGCGATGGGCGATGAGCAGCACCGAGCGCTCGAACCGGGCGCCCTCGTAAATCTCCTTCTCCACCTGCAGTGACAGACGCCCGGGTTACAAACCATCCCATGCCTGGGAGCTGGCCGAGGTGGGCTGGGTGGTGCAGGGCAGGATGCGTGTGGTGCACCGTTAGATAACCTCCGTAATCCAGCCCAGAGCATCTGTTACTGTCACAGCCGACCGATTAAATCCAGTGAGGGAAACTTTCCCCCAGTGGGACCAGGTCGTTGTTGGATCCCCGTATCTCCCAAATGCCTCGTCCGGGTCACCCCAACGATGCAGAGAAATTCCACCCTGGACTGAGATTTGGCCCGTGGGATCGGCTGGGTTTGGGCAGAGGTAAGAGGGTGTCCAAGTGGAAACGGGAATGCAGCCTAGCGCTGGGATCTCCAACAGCTGCATGGATAGTTACGAGCTAAGCCACAGAGCGGAGGGAGACACCGGGGTGGGGACGTGTCACTCACCCACAGCTGACTCTCCGTGTCCAGGGCGCTGGTGGCGTCGTCCAGGATCAGCACTCGGGGGTCTCGGAGCAGGGCTCGGGCGATGGCCACCCCCTGCCTCTGCCCCCCCCGAGATCTGCCCCCCCATCTCCCCGACGTCTGTGGGGGAGAGCAGAGGTCAGTGCCCTGTGCAGCAGGAACGCGGGTTCCCTACCACCCCCGACACAGGACAGCAGGGTCCCAGAGGGGTGGGGAAGGGTATCATGAAGTCCCCAGGGCGGGGGTGTTACGGAGTTGCAGGGGGAGGGTCCCGGGGGAGGGATCGGGGGTGTCTTGTGGTCTCAGGGGCACGGGGGTGCCGGGAGGTCTCAGATGGAGGGAGGGTCCCAGGGCAGGGTGGGATCAGAGCTGATACCTGTCTTGGGGATAGTGCCCGGCTCAAGAGGGGGAGCCTGGGGGAGGGGTATAGGGTTCCCAGGGGGTACTGGGGTGCTGGGGGGAGGGGTATAGGGGTCCAGGGGGTACTGGGGTGCTGGGGAGGGGTATAGGGGTCTCAAGGGGGTCTATAGGGCTCAGTACCTGTGTCGTAGCCGTGGCTGAGCCGGGCAATGAAGCCGTGGGCGTTGGCGCGCCGGGCAGCCCCCCGTCACCTCCTGCCGGCTGCGCCCCCCCAGACCGTAGGCGATGTTCTCGTGCAGCGAGCGGGCAAACAGCACCGGCTTCTGGCTCACCAGCGCCACCTGGGGGCGAGGGGAGATGGAGTGGGACCGGGAGGGGACAGCAGGGTGGGGTGGGGAGTGAGGGACCCTGGATGGAGAGCGGGACAGCTGAAAATGCCCAGACGCACTGTGATGTTGCACTCCATATGCTTTATGAAAATATGTTTATGAATGTGAATATAATGTAACTGGGATATGCTTCATGCAAAAGGTCTCTTGTAAGGTCTCATGACAAAGCTCATAATCTACTGAGTGTGGTCATCCTATTTGTATAAGTGTATCACTCTTGTATCTGAAACTAGAAATATGAACTATAACTCTGAGGGCCTATTGTAACGATGCAAAGTGGGGGCCATTAATGGTGGCTTGGAATCTTGATGGCTCCCATTAACCAGGACAATTGGCTGTAGATGGTTTATTTACCTGCAGACCTTCCTGTGGGCCAGCCCGTGGGTAATGAAGAATGAGGTCTCACAGGACATGTGACCATGTCACCTGATACTGGAATCCATCTTAAACCTGGTACTTTTCCATTGAGAAGGAGGGGTGGGGACCCAGAGAGAGACAAAGGATTCCCGCCTTGTGCCAAAGCTATAAAAGGGGGTGGGACAGGACAAAGGGGGGCCAGTCATGAGAAATCCCCGAGCTACCACCTGAGCTGGAACTAACAAGAACTGTACCAGGGGAAAGGATTGGGCCCAGACTAGGACGGCGTCTAGTCTGTGAAAGAAGCTTATTGGAACATCTCTGAGGGGGAGATTTACCTGTATTCAGTTTCTTAATGTATTAGGCTCAGACTGGCAGGTTTTGTTTTATTTTGCTTGGTAATTTACTTTGTTCTGTTATTACTTGGAACCACTTAAATCCGACTTTTTATATTTAATAAAATCACTTTTTACTTATTAATTAACCCAGAATATGTATTAGTACATGGGGGAGGGGCAAACAGCGGTGCATCTCTCTCTATCACTGTTACAGAGGGTGAACAATTTATGAGTTTACCCTGTATAAGCTTTATAGAGGGTAAAACGGATTTATTTGGGGTTTGGACCCCATTGGGAGCTGGGTGTCTGGGTGCTGGAGACAGGTAACCTGCTGAGTGGTTTCAGTTAAGCCTGCAGCTTTGGGGACGTGGCTCAGACCCTGGGTCTGTGTTGCAGCAGGCTGGCGTGTCTGGCTCAACAAAACAGGGTGCTGGAGTCCCAAGCTGGCACGGAAACGGGCTCAGAGGTAGAGTCAGCACATCAGGTGACAGTCCCAAGGGCGTCTCTGTGACCGAACCTGCCACACTCACTGTGCCCACGGGGGCTGTTGGTGACGTCTGCTCCCCTGCAATGGGCAGACGCTCTCGGCCCCTGTGCCTTGGTGTGTAGGCACCTGTGCCGGGGGGTGGAGGCGGGGAAAGGGGGATGGGGCTATTGGGGGATGGGAAGTGATGCCGGGGGGGGGGAGGAACGATGTCCATGCCTGTCCCTCACCTTGCTGTGCAGGTATCGCTGTGGGGGAGGGGTGTAGCCTATAGGGAAATGTTTGCTTATGTTAATTGAAAATGTGCTGGGCTCAAAAAAGAACTAGATCAGTTCCTGGAGGATCGGTCCATCAATGGCGATTAGCCAGGCTGGGCAGGGATGGTGTCCCCGGCCTCTGTTTGCCAGATGCTGGGAATGGGTGATGGTAGGGATGGGGGGAGCAGTGGGGGGTTCAGAGGGTACCTTGTGGTGCAGGTAGTGATGGGGGGAGGGGATGCCGGGGGAGGTGGGGGGGGTGGCAGGGAGGTACCTTGCTGTGCAGGTAGCGATGGGGGGGGCAGAAGGGGGGTACCTTGCTGTGCAGGTAGCGATGGGAGAGGGGATGCCGGGGGAGGTGGGGGGAGCGGCAGGGGGGTACCTTGTGGTGCAGGTAGTGATGGGGGGAATAGTGGGGGGCGGCAGGGGGGTACCTTGCAGTGCA